GGCTAATATTTTCTATATATTTTTAGTTGTCCAGCTAATTTCTTTCTATTTTTAGTAGAGATGGGGTCTCACTCTTGCTTAGGCTGGTCTTGAAGTCCTGATCTCAAGCGATCCTCCTGCCTCAGCCTCCCAGAGTGCTAGGATTACAGGCGTGAGCCACCGTGCCCAGCCTGTTATCCCTGCTTGATGAGAATTCAACCCTTTATACCAGCGAGGAAAGGTCCAGTTTAGTAACTAAACATAATCTTTTGTTCCTAAAGATTTTCCGCTAACTATAATTAAACCGAAGAACATTTGACGGGCAAGAGCTTCCATATGGAGCAACATACTAAAAATTGCTCCAAAATCAATGACCCTCATGGGTTTCATTCCTATAGATCCTACCCAGGGGATGTGGATGACGTTTATGCCCCCAGGACACAAACTGTGCACTCTTGTTTTATTCAGGAGCTCGGGGCGCTCCAACACCAGGCAGGGAGGCAAGGGCACAAGTGCTGACTTCTAGGGTCACTGATAAGATCCTGCTGATGAGGATGGTTGTGCTAAAACATATTCTAATTGGTAAAGATGATTTCTAACATAAGAGTGGGTTTGTGGCTCATGCCTGTAATCCTAGCACTCTGGGAGGCTGAGGTGGGAGGATCGCTTGAGGATAGGAGTTCGAGACCTGTCTGAGCAAGAGCAAGACCCTGTCTCTACAAAAAATAGAAAAAACCAGCCAGGCATCGTGCTGTGTGCCTGTAGTCCTAGCTACTTTGGAGGTTGAGCCGGGAGGATTGCTTGAGCCCAGGAGTTCGAGGTTGCAGTGAGCTATGATGATGCCACTGCACTCTAGCCTGGGTGACAAGAACAAGACCATGTCTCAAACCCAACACCACCCAATACGAACTATCATGTTCGTAATGAGACCATGTACCATGGAGAAATGTCAAGTGTTTCTCCTCGTCACCTAGTGACTGGTCTGGAGAAGAAGAATGGCTATGAAACTCCCATGTCCTCTTTGTGATCACACTTGTCCTCTATCCAGCACAGAGTAAAAAGTAACCAGGCTTATGATTTACGAGAGAGAGAATTAACAAGGAAGAACGGAGCTGCCGGGAAGGGGAGTTTCATGACTGAGCCCGAGGTTTCTGAGTCCCCATTTCTGTGTTCGTCACTAAGACATCTGGACTCCTTCCTGTGGACAAGTCCTCATGGTGCATCAGACCACCTGCCCCCAGAGCTCTGGGGCCCTGGGCAATGTGCTCGAGGGCTACCCGTGATGATGGGTGGCACTCCCCAATGCAGGGCCCACCTTCCTCTGTTTGACCACCAGCAAAGTTGCACAATGCTGAACTGCGCCACCTGCCGTCTGCCTTCTCCCAGGCTGAGGGGAAGAACACTGGGTTTGGTGTAGGCAGTGGGTCTTCCCGCAGATGCTCTTCCCGCAGCTACGCCCCCTTCCCACCAAGCTCTCAGCCCAGGGCTTACAGTCTTCTGGCATGCTAGAAGGTGGACGGGTCCCCACACACCTTTAGCTGCTCCTGGGAGTAGTCACTCCTGTGGGCCTGTTCTGCAGATGTGGCACCTTTTGACAAGTTGGACTCTGTCTACTCCCCAGGTGTTGAGCTTGGTCACCTACCTGCCCAGCAGCTTTCCTGGAAGAGTGATGATGAGTGGGGATCTTCTTGGCTTCTGTCTGCTCATGACTGTGTTTAGGTTTAAATTAGCTAATGAATCCTAAACAATTAGCACAGAGTCAAGGGCTCAGTACTCAGTAGCTGTTATCATACTATTATCAATACACACTTCAATGGAGTCTTTAAATAGAGTCTTTAAATGTGTAAGAGGGACCTCTTGAATGAGGATCAGTTTCTCAGCTTGTAGAGGGTTAATCCATCACCTGCGTGACAGAGAAGGGAAGGACAGTGGAACATGGCTATCGGTGCCCACCTTCCCTCTTTTCCAGGCATAACACCTGTATGGGAGGCAAAGACCCACCAATAAAGTCAAAGAGGGATGCTTTAAGTGTCCTATGGGGTCATAATTTGTACCCACTCTATTATCCAATGTTGACATTAATTGCTGGCAAAGGTGGGGCTGTGGTCTTACAAAGCTGGAGGGATGGATATAAGTATGAGCATGTGTGAGAATGTTGCACTGTTTGCAACAGTTGAAGCTGAAGCTGCTTTGAAGCACTACATATTCTGGGGTTAATGGGGTTAATGTTTTGAAGATGTCAGCTGAGTGACTCCCACCACCAACTGTGCCCCTAACACCATGTGTCACCCTGGCTTGGGAACCTGGCTGCACTCCGAGATGCTGTCATTGTGCCTCTGGGTCCTTCCCCACCTGTTGCTATGTCTGTCAGAGTGGCAGGGACCAGGCAACTGGCTGAAATCATATGTGCTATTTCTGTGCATAGGATGTGAGTAAGTACAAGCCACAGTAAGTCAGACCAGGATATGAGTCAGGTTATATTATAAAGTGCTAAAAAGAACTGATCTTCAAAGCATACTGGGAGCATTATGCTGTGCTTCGACACTATTGTGTAGGAGCTACAGTCTGAAAGACTTATAATTACCAAGCAAAGGAGAAACGCTGAGGAATATGGATGATCAGAATTGACCAGAGCCTACCAATGAAAAGACATGGATATGGTGGAAACCAAAATCTAGAGGTCTTAAAATTTAAGAGATAAAAAGAAAGATTTACCAGGACCACATATTTCTCTAGCGTACTTCGTTCAGATATGAAGAAGTAGTGAAATATGGGAAGCTCAGGAAAGCTATGGAATATGGGCTTCCTTTATTTTCCTGTTAAAACATATCTGCAGAGCAACCTTTCTGGGGCTAAGTTAATGGTCCTAAACAGGCTCTTAAAATAAAAATCTGTTGGCCCTGAGATATAAAGATACCCACAAAAACCATCTGTAGCACTAATTGTCAGAGTAAAAAAATTATTGATAATCTTGATATCCGCAAATTAGAAAAATAAACTACATTATATCCCTTTAATGGAACCCAAGCAGCTATTAAAAGGAATGAAATAATCTGAATACACTGGCGCGGAATGACGTCCGAAACAGACTGTTACAGAGAAAAATCAAGTTGTAGAAAATGTACACGGTAATCACAGCTCTGTTAAAAATATGTTTGTATATGCATAGGAAAATCTCTAAGGAGCCAGAGAAAACCATTCATAATTGTTATCTGTGACAGCAAGAAGTTTTTTTTTACACCCTTATTCATTGTTTGAATCTTTTACAACAAACATCTATTACTTTTATGATAGAAAATAAAATCAGCAAAGATATTTATGAGAGAAGAGTAGTATTAACCTGTTTTTCCCCACAATTACAAGGTTCCTGGAAGCCTCTGGGGGTCTAATGACATCGTCAGCCCTTCACAGCTGCGAGTCCCCGACCAAACAGCACAGGACAGGGGGCGGGCCCTGAGCTCTCTGCGTGCGGGTCCACAGAGGCAAGCGCAGTCAGCATTTCTGAAATGCCATGAGAAAGGACGGTTTATTGGCCTTGGAAGCCCTTTCTGTACCCCTGTCACAGACCCCTTGTGTGGCCTGTGCAACTGCACTTCTGCTTCATGAGCTGTGGGGAGTTCGCTGCCTGGCTGTAACGTGTGTCCGTGATTCCAGACAGGCCACTGCACAACCCTGGTGCACCCACACTTCTCAGCACGGTTTTACTGACCTGTGTTCTACGGACTTGCTGTTGGAAGGGTTTTGGAGAAGTGACAGCAGGAATTCATCTGCTCCACCTCCTCCCTCCCAGGGGAGCCTTGAGGAACCGCCCTTTGTTTCAAGGGCCAGGTGAGGGGATTACCTGACCTGCCTGGGACCGCAGGACCCATCCTCACACCCTCCTCCTGGTCAGGCATTTCCTCTCTCGGGTCTGCCCTGACGACCTCCTCTTCCAGGAGGGAGGGCAGACACAGCCCCATGTGTTTAGACCACAACGCATGCCTAGAAACAGATGTTCCCTCGGCCTTGTCTTCTGAAGGCTGGAGAAGCCCAGATGTCATTGTTTGTTCCAAGCATCTTCTATTCTTCACAGATCTCCGGATGCCTTACAGTCTCTCCCCGCCCTGGAGCTTCCCTTAGACAATTCCTACTCCCCCTTCAGATCCTAGTTCCAGTGTCATGTCCTCTGGGAGCCTCTCCCAACGCCCTGAGGCCAGGCCAGGTTGGCGCCTCGTGCTTATCCCAGTTCTCATCTCAGACCATTTATTCTTATGACACCATGATTCATGTCTGCCTTCCTCGTGGGACACGAGTCTGGTGAGGGCAGAAGCTGCGCCCTTCTGCCCAGGCTTCTGCTGCATCCCCAGTGAGGGCACAGAGCCTGCCACCAAGGAGACCCCAACAGAGGCGTGCTGGGTGGGACGTGTGCAGTGTGGAGGGAGGAGGCAGCGGAGGCTCTCCTCCTTCCTTGACCAGCTCAGCCCCCTTATCTTCTGTCATGTGTGTCCGAGTGAATAGCTAGCAAGGGGTATTTCCCCTCTTACTCTCTGAAGATTTATCTGAGGGGCATACAAGCAGTAGGTGGCAGTGTTTAAGGGAATTAGAGGTTATTGCTAAGACTCCAGAAAGTTCTCAGCTAAAATGGCAGAAACTTTGATGCTATGACTGCCTAGTTCTTTCTTGGGGCCTTCTGGCTGCCCAGGGACGCTGTGGGCTTCCCGGGGCCACCCCTGTCCTGGAGGATGGATGGAGTATGATAGGAACAGAAATCCTCTGCTCACAACAGAGAGGGCCTCAGGCAGCACGTGGTGGGGGGGCGGGGACATGCACTGACCTCGGCTGATGCGCTGCTTCTCCCCAGAGAGGATGCCGGGGCTGTCGATGATGCTGATGCTCTTCAGGACCTGATTGGGCAGCTGGGAGCACATGAATCTGGAAGAGACGAATGGAAGGCAGGTCAGAACCTGGCACCACAGAGTGCACTAATTGTGGGGCTCCCTGGCCTCTCTGGGCTTACTGATGTCATCTGTAAAGTGGGGGCTCAAAGGAGATTGACAGCGATTACAGATGCAGAATGAAGCTGTCTGTCCCTCACTTGTCTGATACCATCTCCTCCCTTGGGCCCTGGTCCCTCCTGCCACGGTTCCAGTCAGCTGCTCTGGCATCGCCCTGCGGAAGCAGAGTGGTGTGGGAGGAAAACTCTGGCCTGTGGGTCAGCGGACCCAGGCTCAGGTTCTGCCCAGGCTTTCCTAATAATTTGCTGTGGGACCCTGGACAGGGCCATTCCCCCCTCTACCCTCCAGGCCTCAGTTTCCTCATGTGAAGATGGAGATGTCTGGACCAGAGTCTGGCCATGTCCTTTTTAGCTTTCATACTGTAGAACTCCACAAGTGTCAGTAGGAAGCGTTTGTTACCCCCACCCCAGACAACAGAGCCTGCACTGGATCTTTGCCAGGCACCGTGTATGTTTTAAGGCAGACACTGAAGAGTGTCTCCCCGGTTCCTGTGTTATAAATGGCTGACTGCTGTATCTGTGTGGGCAGAAAGCTAAAAGCTCAATTCTTCCACTCAGTGGAAGTGGTGGGCATGACTCAGAAAGTAAGTATGCAGGGAATGCAGGATGGGAGGCTGGCCCAGCCTTCCCAGCACATGCGGGGAGGGCAGCCCTGAGCAAGAGATGCGATTACTGACAGTTCAAAATAACTTTCTTTGGAGGGGTTCAGGACAAGTTTTTCACACATTCTTTCCTGTATTTTCAAATCGGCCCTAGAAGATGTAGGAAAAGATGCTGTGATCCTTTTGCAGATGGAAATGCTGAAGTACAAAGCAGTTATGACATCTTGAGGTCCCACTGCTAATACCTGGCTGGCTGGAGACTGCGATCTGATATTTCTGATGTCAGTGGGTAGAACTTAACCCATAAGGTTAAAAATCTCCTAATGTTAAAAATAAAGGGTCAAGGTAATTGAAGAGAAGCCTCCAATTTCTGCGTGTCTCCTGCCCCTCCTGCACCCCAACCTTTAAATAAACTCACCGCCCAACAGTAGGAGAGATTTGTGAGAACAAAGCACACAGGGACCCCCAAGCATTCTCTGTGAGTTCACAGAGGGAAAACATTATTCAAATCTCTAGCACTGGGGTAGGAACAGAGTTCTGAACCCATCTGTACCGGACCACGCTTCTTGTCCGTGACAATTTAGCTTCTTAGCACGGGCCATCCTTTCTATCAGACGGCTACGGCATTCGGCAGTGCTGACCGAGTTGCACCTATGTGAAACTGCTTTACACAAACTGCTGCTACGGAGAGGCTGACCTTTTCCAAAACCACAAGTTCACACTCAATATCCATTTTTCCAAAACACAAAACCCCTAGATTCTAGGGTGAGGCTAACAGAGGGGTTCAAAATTTACACACTGTTCCCTCCCTGGGTGTAAAGCGACAGCCTTTCGACAGCTCCTGGGCCCCTGACACAACAGCAGAGGCCAAACGTGCTAGCCACAAAGAAATATGCAGTGAGGTGGGCCGGTGTCACCACACCACACACAAGGGGGCAAAGTGAGGGGCCAAGAACTGTGGGGGGAGGGGAGGAGGAACGGGGTAGCACTCTCCAGGGGGCACCCTGAGGGCGGGTGGCTGGGGTTGTGTGTGCAGAGCTGGACTCCTTTCCACGGAAAAAGTGCCCAGGGGTGGGGGTGGCCAAGAGAGCACAGACACAGCAAGCATTCGGGTCCTCAGTGCCACGGCTCACACTGTGAGGTCAGAACTCCACACACATGCGTTCTTAAAAGTTACACTGGAATCAGAAAAAAGCCCTAATCCTGTTCTAGCAATCGTGTCAGAGCTTTTTGCATTGAGAAGGAAGGTGTACAGCAAGGTTATTTATGTGTCTGTCATACTTGGCCTCAGGTCATGCCAGCCCGGCCGTGCGTTTCTGCCGAAACGTTTCCAAGCATAGATGTGCTGTCCCAAGACAGAGCTCCCGCCCCTTCCTGGAGTGACTGCCACAAGGTGTACCCGTGTCTTGCTGTCTACACTTCACATTAAATACAGACATGTGCTGGTTAGAACTGGGAGCCTCACACAGCTTTCATGACTATCTCCCTACCTGGGGCTGACCTGATCAATGTTCTTTTCTGAAGTAAAGGAAGAGGAGGGAGCACCCAAGACCGTGCGCTGGCCCCCACTCTGCATCCTCCCCACGTGCAAGGAGGGGTCGGGGCAGCAGAGAGGGGCGGGGCAGAGTAACAGCACAGGCCCTAGGGTCTCAGGCAAGTTGCTGGGAGCCCTGCCGCACAGGGAAATGAGGAGTGGCAGGTAGGTTACTTGAAATTGCCCCAAACACTAAAGTTCTAATTTGATGATCAACACTTTAAAAACTAGACTTTTAAAAGAACCTGAGAGCACCTTAATACTGATTTGGATTTCGCAACAAAACAGTGATCTCTGTAGTAGTTACAGTAATAATAAAATAGCACAATTATTTCCTGAGCTCGTACTGTGTGTCAGGCACTGTCCTAAGCACTTTCCGTGCACATTTAACTCCATCCTACGGCGACCTTAGAGGTAGGGCTGTGAGCCTGCGTCTTACAAAGGAGCAGACTGGGGCACAGAGTCATCACTTGCCAAGTCCCATGGCTGACAAGTGGTGGGGCTGGGACGTGAATCTGGCAGTTCTGATTACAGAGCCCTGGTTCTCAACTGCTAGGCGACCACTACCACCGCATGCATCGGAACCACTGTTGTGTACTCGTATCACACGCAGGGCAACATCCTAAAATAAGGAGTGATGTGCCACAGCCGTGGAACTATTCCCTCAAGGCCCTTCCTTGTGCGGCTGGCTCTGTACCCAGGGGTGTGTGGGGTCAGGCCAAGGAGCAGGAGGCAGGAGGATCACCGGAGCCCAGGAGTTTGAGGTTGCAGTGAGCTATGATGACGGCACTGCACTCTAGCCGGGGTGACAGAGTGAAACCCTGTCTCAAAACAAAGCTATATTGAATGAAGTCTCATTTAGTTACAAACACAGAGGTAACAAATGGAGCATAAGCCCGCAAGTTTCCTTTGAATTTCATGATGGCTGGACCGTCCTGTGGTCGTAAGACAGTGGTTTATCATTACCCTCTCCACCGTCAGGCCTGGCTAAAATGGCAGAGCACTGGAAGGACTGTTCAGATTCCTTCAGCACATAAGGAAGTTTCAAAATTTCAATTCTTATGGTTATTTTTCAAAAAGAAATAGAGGCAATTAAGAAGTAAATGAGATTAAGGATTTATGCAATGGAAGACAACAATTTAAAAGTATACTACATTCTAAACTAAAAGCAATGTCTGTAGCTACTGAATTTTTAAAAAATACTACCATTTTTCAGAAAAGTAGATTGAGGGAAAACATCACAACCCACTCAAAAGCAGACTGCAGAGGGAAACGTCACATCCTAATCCATGAAACTTCTCGAGTTGACCCAAATACCCTGCTCCCTCAGAGGACACTGTTGGTTGTGCCCATATCCTCGGTGAGGTGCCACTGCTTCCTGAGCACCAACTCTGGAGAGCCAATGCCCATGCTCCCACGGAGCAGCGCCCAGACAGGCCGCCTGCGGAATGCCTCCCAGTATAAAGCGGAGTGCTAAGGCTTCAGAATGTGCCATGAGAGCCGTTGCATAGAACTGTCTTTGTTCTAGACCAAACACCCTTTATTGTGCAATTTCTCTAATTCTAACCTGCCTTTTTGGGAATTTATCTTCATTTCTCAGAAATGCACCATAGACCCCTGTCATTGTCTTAGACTGCGATCCCTAACCTGCAGGCCGAGGAATGGGCTACAGAGCTCTGCCAACCCCCCCTTCCCCCTCCATGGAAAAATTATCTTCCATGAAACCTAGGAACTGGAGGGCCACACAGCAGGAAGTGAGCAGCAAGCAAGTAAAGCTTCATCTGTATTTACAGCCTCTCCCCATCACTTGTGTCACCGCCTGAGCTCCACCTCCCCACCCCACCCCCATCCATGGAAAAACTGTCTTCCATGAAACCAGTCCCTGGTGCCAAAAAGGTTAGGGACCACTGGTCTTAGAAACCAGCCTTGGGGATTAATAAGACTCAGGCTCTACTGGTTTGCTTAAAGCTGGAGGGTGGTGTCACCTCCCAGGTATCACCTGGCATTACTTTAGGAAGTAATTCTTTTAAAGAATGCCCTGGGGGCAGGTGCCCAAGGCGACACCCATAAGGAGGAGGCCAGGTAATGATGACCTGTCCCAGGGGAGATGCAGGTGTGGCTGCCTGGGGGAGAAGGTTCTCCACAACAACAGCCAATTTCTTTCCTATTAAGTGTCATACTTTGACCCAGTTCCCAGAAAAGCACACTATGTAAAAAGAGGCTGCCTTTAGAGCTACCCTGCTGATGTTCCCAGAAGCATGCCGTAATCGCGCATGCGCATCTGAGCACCAGCACTGACTGACCCTCCTTGTGAAGCAGCAGCACTGTCCTGGGGACACTACTTAATCAGGCTGTTTACTCTTAAGTAGCTATGAGCTTACGTGAGGCACATCCCTTACACGCGAGCCTGACGCACACACGGCACCAGGATGGCTAGAAGGACAGAGGCGCCTCTTTGCTGATCCCCTGCGGAGGCGTGGGGTGGTAGACAGGAGGGAAGGGGAAATGGGGATCCTAGTCCTGTCTCTGCCTCTTCCTAAAGGCCTCTTCTTCAGCAAGTCACTTCTTTGCTTTCAGTTTTCTCATCTGTAAATTGCCACAATATTGTCTGTTTTATTAACAGCGTATAAGAGATTGTGTAAATTATGTAAACGATTGCTGTCATTTTCATCAACATTGTTGGAGGGCTATATTGGGGACAGCCTTAAAAGTTAAATAGGGAGCGTTAGGCAATGAGTTTTAGTCCAAACATCACACCGTTTGGCAGCTCAGGAGCAGGACTCTGCAGCCATTCCCAGCACTGCCCCTTAGCAGCAGAGTGACCTGGTGGACGTTAAATTAACCTTTCTATGCCTCAGTCCTCCTCCCTACGTTGGGGATAACAGTAGCAGCCACGTCACAGCGTTTCTGTGAGCATTTAAAGCTAACATACAAGTAAAGTTGGGAGCGCACCTGACACATGATAAATGCCATCTAATTATTTGCTATTATTTTTCTATGTATTATTTTGAATTCAATGAACACTTGATTATATAATGCATGGATTACTCTAGCAACTTTTCAATTCTGACACATGAGCCTTGCTATTCAAAATCTTTCCTGGATACTTCTTTTCCATACTCATTTGTTGTATGTTTGGGATTTGCAAAACAGTTTTGTTAGGAAAGTAAATCATTTGCCAAAATAAAACAAGCCAATAACTCCTCTTCCTGGTTTGTCCCTTGAGAAAATGGACTTCACAAAATGGGAATTTGAAAAAAGTGGCAGCTTCTTTCTTTTTGAAAGCCTTTGTCAGGCAAAAAGAATGTACGACAAAGGACAGCAGTGATGAAACCACAGGATTCCAGAGCAGCCTTCCCCGGGAGATGGAGCCCGTGCCCTGCACCTTCCAGGGCCTCCAGGACCTTCCCAGGCAGGCCTGATGGGGAAGCTTCCTGTCCACTTCCCCTAAACTCTGGTCCACTCTGTGAGACCAGAGGGCTGAACCTCTGGGGTTCCCCTACCCTAGGCTCAACCTCTACTTCCCTCACAGGGATTCTCTGGTGCCCACTGAGGCTGCTCTGGGGTTAAGGAGTAAACTCCTCCCAGAGAAGAGAATCCTGGAAAGAATCATTTGGACAGTGATCTGCAAATCACCGTCAGTAACAAGAGGGAACTTCTCTCTGACTCCATCTACATCATCCGCCAAGTTCCCTGGCTACCACTCGGATGCTTTCTTTGATTTGCAATAGGAGCCCAGAAAAGCCCTTGAAGGAGAGTTCAGATCCTTAGTTCAGTTTTTCAAAGAAGGCACCCGTGGAGGTTGCCTGGGCCGCCCTTGGCAGAGCCACAGCACAGCACCGGGCACACCATTCATTCCATAGTCCACGTGAAGGGTGCCCCCTGGAGCTGTGCAAGGAGGTGCCTCAGCCTCTGGAAGGACAGCAGTCAGCTGGGAGGGTCTGCTCCTATTTTTAAGACCATCTAGAAAGGAGAAGTACAGTTCAACTCTCCTGTTGTCTGTCAGCTCTAATCCTACTTCCTCTCCCTAAAGACACCCGAATGCCTCCACCCTAGCCTTGCACCTCCTACAACCCAGTCCACAAACAGCCTGTCTAAAGCTAGACTGCAAGAGGGAAATTGGGGTGGGGGGTGATAGGGAAGAAGAGAAAAGCATTAGAAAAAGAAAAAAAGGCTGGGAGTAGCAAAGAGGAAGAGGGGGAGAGAAGCGAGAACAGCAGATCGTGTCAGAAAGGGCATAGCAGCATCCAGGAGCACTGGCTGGCTCATCCCCCCAGTGCCCCTCAGGGCCACTGGGAACTCTGATGAAAGGTTAGGAGGTAGTACAAATAAAACACACCTCCAGTGAAGACAGAACCGCAGTAACCCCACAACTTTACGTCTATAAACAAAGTCATGTAACAAAATCTACTTTTTGTGTTTTGACTCTATTTCCCTCCTGCCCTCCTCTAATGAATCAGGAAGCAGCTCGAAGCATGGGAGTGAGAAGAAAAGAGACAGCCAGGGAGGGGAGGTGACCTGTCCTGGAGTCAGCAGACAAAATGTGAGTGTCAAGTGAATCTGTAGGGGCCACGCTCTCTGACTGCAGGAGACCGCAGCACATCACGCCTGAGAGGTGGCCGTCTAGCACTGCCGGTGACAGGGAGTTGCCTACCTTACAAGGCAACCTGATCTGTCTCTGTGTAGCTCATGTTATTATAAATGTGTTCCTTATACTGTGTAGCCTTATAATGTCCAAACTTGGGCCTTAGCTCTGCCTTCTGAAGTGATCTGCAATAGGTATAAATGATCATTTCCTATGATAGTCTTTCGAACATTTGAATACAATAAACATATTCTCTATGACTTCTAGAGCAGATACTCTCTGTTCTTCTGTTTTTGAACCTTTACGTGTAATTGGCAATAATTCAAAGAAAAGGAAATAATCCAAAGAAATGTGACTAGAGATGGCAGTTTGCTGGTCCTTACCGATTCAGGAAAGCATTTCCAAAGCGACTAAGCTTTCTGAATGGCTTTTTGGGGTCCACGACTAAAGCATTCCCTGGGGTGCTGCCCTCAGTGTCTCCATACATCACAGCGATGAAGGAATCAGTGGTGGGCTCTGGACCAATCCGCATGCCTGGGAAATCCTGCTCCAGCAAGTATCTGGGAGAGGGGGAAAGAAAAGAAAATTTAGTGTGTTGTCATAAAGCAAGAAACCAGATACCTGCCTGGGCTTACCCATTGTTTACATACTCATTTAAAAACTTAGCACAGCAATCCTTGTTCACATTTCCATTGATGCAACAGACACCACCCCAAAGAAGGTGCCAGCCAGCTCCTGGGCACCCTGGAATCCCTGCTCAGGCTCACCTCCCTTAGGGAGGCTTCCCCGACCTGTGTGCTGAGGACACCTCTTCTGTGTTCCCTGGGCACCCTCTGCCTGTGGCTAGCATGGTGCTTACCACGTGTGCTGCACTTAGCTGCGGCCCTGCAAGGTGTCTGAGGTGATTAGGGTGCAGCCATGTCTCAACTCTGCGGGAGGATGAACCTCACCTTATGATCCTCGAAGGGCTCAAGGGAAGAAACCTGCATGACTTTCTCCAGCTGCCCATTCCTGCCACTAATAATCAATCTGGTCCTAAACTATTTCTTTGTTTCTAAGAAGTCCTGACTGATCACGTGTCAGCCCAGGACCTGTGACTCCATTTCCAGGGATAGAGAGAAAAACTGAACTATTGAATGTCAAACACAACTTTGCCATCATTTATAAGAATGATACATTAAGCCACCCTTTAGACCTATATTTTCTGTGTAGATAAAATTGAAATTATTCAGCAATCTTAGCAGGCTATATTCTAACCCTTTAATTGACATCATTGCCTGTTTTAACTTCATCCAAAGTTCCTACATTTCTGTGAAGTTGTGGAACCCCTGAATAGACAGATACATCATTAAAACATGTCTCCTAAATTTAGAGTAAATGTGGAAAAATATCTGATAATATCATGTGGCATCCACCGAGTGCTGGATATATGTCAGGTATGGCATATAAATGCACTTTTGTTTCATTTAATCCCACAACAGTTTGAGGTGGATGATAACATTATCCGCATTTCATAGATGGGAAAACTGAGGCATCAGAGAGGCAATGCAACCTGCCCATGGTCACACAGTAGAAATGGAATGCAAGCAGTTGGACTCCAAAGCTTACACTATCTCCAGAAATGTTTAAACTTGGCCTTGAGTAGTGCATCGCTCAGAGACGAAAGGCACAAGGGAAGTTCAGGGCCACATGCTAGGATGTGCCACTGGGCACAAGGCACAATGACCCCCATTTCCTCTAACGTGAGGGAAAAGAGCTCTACAAATTGTCCTTATGCTCAGTCCTCCGGCCTCCCTAACGACAAGGGGCCAGTTCTCCCCATTCTCCCTGGAGAAAAGCTAGGACAAGGATGTGCTACTGTTTCAAAATGTGTTCATATTTAAGTTTTAAAATTTTTTCAAAACTTTTTCTATCAAAAGCTTTGTGCACCTAATAGCCTAACAAATACCCTTAGGAGCAGAAATGTTCATATTTATCAATTCTTACAAAAATTCCACACAAATCTTAGAAATACTGGTAAAAGCTACTGTGAGAACATCTCACGTTTTGTGAAACTCCAGCAGTTATGACTGTATCTAGAGTGTGTAGATTTCATATACCCACATGAATGTGGAATTTAGGTTTTACAGCCACTCTGGGGTCTCAGGTGTGAAGTCATTCTGTAGCAAAGCTAGAATTCAAAGCCAGATCACACTCTTGCCCTCCCACCCCCGCCCCCGCACTGTCTAGTTTGATCTTTACATGCACAGCCTGGGTGAGGCTATGCCAGGAGGCCTGCAGGAGAGCCCGAGATGGGGGCCGGGGCTTGGGAGAACAGCAGCCAGTGCTCCCAGCAGCACACACAGCTCCCAACGCACGAAAGGGTTAGGTCCAGGTATGGGTTTGAAACTTGACAGGTACTTCCCCCTAGCACATGTTAACAGCCAGGGTTAGCTTGCTGAGACAGCCTACAGAAGGTGACACACCAATAAAATGGACAAACCAGGCAAGAACTGTACCACGCCCTTTTGTGGAAAGAGCTCAGTGTTGAGTTCTACCGTGGGTGGCTTGCTGCAACGTGGCCCCTTCTCGGCACCTTCACCAAGCCTGGGCAGAGGGACGGCCCTCCAGGTTCCAGGCTGGGGAGGTGAGAACAGGGCTCAGGCGGGGTGGAGAGGGATGGTGGACCTTGTAGTTAAGCGGTGAGTCCCCAGCTGGACAATAACTCACACGTAACAGGTGTTTGAGTCAGACGATCGCTACCAAGGAGTGCCTGCATTACTTTGTGATGTTTCATTTATGTACAAGTACAGCAAATCCCACTAATTTTGGAATAAAAGGGGTTCCCAGTGACAACCTAAATTAAAAAATTGTTTAAAGATGAGCAGGTGTTTCCTATTTTCAAGTTTATGTTGTAATAGAAGTTAGAGTTTCCTAAGTAGCAACCCTATCAGACAGAACTTTAACAATGAATTATTCTTAAAGTATGCTGCAAATGTGAAATAGTTTGGGGACACCCTCAACTGCGACCTTGGTAAATCATTCAATCTCTGGATCCCAGACACAGAGGAAAAAACTAGAACTAGGAACCATTACTATATTGTTAAGCTTGCTCACATTATCGATTTGTTTAGTGATACTTTCTCCCACAGGTAATATAAAGTAAAAATTCAATGTTTAATTTCATCACCAAAGAAACAGCATTAAAGACATAGCATATTAGCAAATTAAAAAAAGCCACTCATAATATTCAATGCTGGTGAGGGTCCTGTGAAATAAACACCCTTATATATGTTGGTGGGAGAATTAAGTTGGCAGAACTTCACTGAAAAGCAATTTGACGCTTTGTGATAAAAGACTGTAAAATGGGGAGCCCTGTGGAGCTTGTCCTCTAGTGTGGGTGTTATCTGTGGGCCTGTTTCCTCTCCTTGTCATTTCCTGCAGGGTCTCACAGAACTTTAGTGCCCCAAAGTCTTGAGGAATCATTTGATTCACCCCCTTATATTTATAGGGGAAGAGACTGGGTATTAGAGCAGGAAGGTGACTTGTTGGTCAAACTGGGTGGCCACACAGGACCCGGAAGCTGGAGCCCCTCCCCACCGGCCCGAGGCTTCTGCCCTCACACCAGGCTCAGCCCATGGCCTTTGGGTCCCACACTGCCCCTGGCGCTCTAAGTAGGACCTGGCAGAGACACGAGTGGATGCACAGCACTCTAAGCTGACTGCCCTGTGAGAGCTTTTACGTTGGGTACTGCTGAAACTCAGGTTCGCTCACGTGACACTGCTGGGCAGGCAGGTACACATCAACGCAGTGAGGGAACCAGGAACAACCGAGACACCGAGTACCTGACAGGGAAAAAGGGAGAATGAAGTGATGAGATCAAAACACAGCGAGCTGGAAGGGAAGCGTCTGAGCAGATGCTGAGGTGTGACACGCACGAATGGATTAAGCACACGGCCGCGCGGATGAGGCTGATCGATTGTGTTAGACTCTTTTTGTTGGGGGACACCTCAGAGGCTTTCCCAAAGCTACGTGTTCCAGGGGCTCTGTGGTGTATCTGCAATAACACGAACACAAAGGAGCAAGAGGCCACAGGAAGACTACAGAAAATAACCCAGCACGCTTCAGAGCCGATGAGCCCCCTGCACAGGCCTCCTGTGCATTGGGACTTGATGTCTGTCCTTGGCTCCACCCCGCTCCCCCTTCCTGTGTTCCCACAGAGGCCTGCCAACTCTAGCGGTGATTGCTCCAAGGTTCCCGGGCCAAGCCATCAACATAAAAAGGTACAGACGTTTGGATTCCGAGCAGCTGGGCGGAAGAGGTGGTGGGGTGGACGGGAGACCTGACATCTCCTTGTCCCGGTCCGATGAGGTCCCCAGTTCTGCCTCATCCAAGTGGCTCCTGGGCACACTGGCTGCCAACACTCAGCCTAAGCTCAAGGAGCTGCTTTGATCAAGGGTATGTGTGGACAGTGTCTTTTTTCTTTCGCTACTTAGGCTAAAGAAGCTTTTTTTTTCTTTTTAACCTCATACAAAAACATCATTTGTGACAAAGGGAAGAAAAAATTCTCAAGACAATGAAAAGTTCCTCAACATACCCAAGCACCATCTTCTCAAAGATGGACTTAAGAATGTATAAAAAAAAAAACATTCAAAAACAACTATAAGAGGCACATTATTCAACCATAGACACCCAAAATTCCAGCTGCAAACTTTGGCTCCCTCTGGGTTTTGACTATCACACTTGTGCTTAGAATAGTGGAAAAATCATTAATTTTTTAAGAAATACATCTAACATTTGAGGACTTGTTATGTGCCAAAGTCTTTATATGAATCATCTCATTTCATCCTAACTACCTTATAGGTAGGTACTATTTTTATCCCCATTTTACAGGTGAGGAAACTAAGGCTCAAATAGGTTGATTAAGTGGTTTATTAAAACACAGGTTTGTTTTTTTTTTTTAATTTACTTTTGAGACAGAGTCTGGCTCTGTTTCCTGGGCTAGAGTGCCATGGCGTCAGCCTAGCTCACAGCAACCTTAAACTCCTGGGCTCAAGCAATCCTCCTGCCTCAGCCTCCAGAGTAGCTGGGATTACAGGCATAAGCCACCATGCCCGGCTAATTTTTTCTATATATATTTTTAGTTGTCCAGATAATTTCTTTCTATTTTTAGTAGAGACGAGGTCTCACTCTTGCTCAGGCTGATCTCAAACTCCTGACCTTGAGCGATCCTCCCGCCTCGGCCTCCCAGAGTGCTAGGATTATAGGTGTGAGCCACCACGCCCTGCCAAAACGTAGGATTTCTTACTAGTCCTGTGAGGACACTACCTGCCCTAAATCAAAGCCTGAGTTAGTCTCCAATGGGAGTGTTTATAGGAACATGTTCTGTGAATCACAAGAAATATACAAATGTAAGATTTTAAAAATAATATGGCACATGTATCTGCAGTGTTGTATGAGCATTGTTTTTAAATTCTAAAGCCAAAAGCTATAGAATGGCTTGTGTGATGATAAACAGGATTTTAAAAGACATGTTTGTGCATAGAGTTTGGGAGTTCAATTCATTGCTATTGCCTGGAAC